TATTTTCATACACGTGCAGCTTATTAATTTGCAGCTGTGCAATGATTGTCGTCTGCTTTTTTCCTCTCCATTTCTATTATAGTAGGAATGTTCACTCGGGCAGTGACGTTGCCAGAGTGCTCTTTGACGAACTCGGGCACGGCAGTTAGTTTTTTCCTGTGGGGGATTGAACTACGTGTAGACAAACAAGTAGAAGATTGTTTTACCTTAAATCATTATTTGAAGGGCTAGTTCAAGATATGAGCCATTGTATAGATTGATGCAAAACATCCCTGAATCAAAATTCATGATACAGATGCGCGACACGATAACGTTTTTGAGACAAACACGAATTATTGAATGCAATACAGAAATCATACTCGAATTACGAAGCATATACCCCTCCATAATCACTGTTCATGCGGCCATTAACTCAACCGTAAACATTTGCATAACGTTTGTGTGGTGAGTCAAAGCACACAAATTAAGCAAAATACACGTTTTTAACCGTAGCAGAGGACAATATAACCAATAACTATGCAACAGACAATGGCCATCGGCCGACGTTACCTATACTGTGTCCTGTCGTGCGACGTTGTGTTTCCATCCGATTCCTCTCCCCCTGACCTCCGACTCTGTGCCCCTCAGGTGTCCTGGGGTCGCGACATCGAGGTGCTGACCGGCGGCCTATCGCGGTTCACCGACGATCGCCGGTTCCAGCCGCTGCACCAGGAGTACAGCGAGGACTGGGGCCTGCGCATACTGTCCGTGCGAGCCTCGGACGCCGGCTGGTACTTCTGCCAGATCAGCACGTCGCCGCCCGTCTCACATCAGATCTACTTGAATGTAGTAGGTAAGTGATGCAAGAGCAAGAGCAGAAAGAGCAAAACTTAGCAAGTGGGCTTAAAAGTCGGACATCCAGCCTGAAACCGTATCTTGAGAAACAGTTAAATTGTGACTAAAAGCCATCTGTTTGCCGGTCTTCTGAACGGATAACGGAGAAGGCCTGCGTGTGATCAAGGTCTGCGAGCTTGCTGCATGGGTTATAGTTTACCACGTGCACTAGCTCTAACTGCATCGTCATCAGATCCGTCTAAGTCAATTTATTCAGCACCAGTTACCTTGTTTACCTGACCGCATTTCGGTCCTACAAAGGTGGGCAATGGGCATTCACCCGCTCCCTGGAAGAGTTTAGGCTGAACAATTCTTGGCACTATATTCCGCTTATTTGATTGATTAATCAGTATGAATTTTAATGACGATGCTGGTCATATAAAGTGTCATTGCAATGAAAAGTTACGACATTCTGATAATGGCAGCAAACAGCGCTTAGCCGCTTAGTGCCAGTGGTATTGAGCCTTCAAGGTCCCCAATGCAGCAGTGGCCAGTGGTATTTCGGAACTCCATGTCACAAATATTGAAAATGACTGTGAGCGCTCGTCATCCACCGTCTAGATATTTTTACGCTAGCGAATGCTGACATTGAGACCGGGGGATACCTCAGAAAGCCAGGCAATGCGAGACTGCCGCAGTTATTTGGAAGCATTGTTTTCATCGTCAAGTGACCGGCACTTCCCTACACAATGAGAACACAACAGCACCGTTTCATAATTATACAGCTGTCCGAAAAGGCTGGCACTTCATTGTCTACTCCCTGAGGACAAAACAGTGGAAGATGCACATTACAATGACAATGGTTTGCATATATGGGTCTGGCGAAGTTGGTTTTCTCGGTACAAAAAATCACAAAAATCAACTTGGAAAATTGGTTCTCTGAAGGAACAACTCTTTTTTCTGTTGGTATGCCATAAGGATCCTATTTTATCATCACAAAAAGGAAATGGAAGGACGACAGCAGGACTTTTGATTATTACACTTTACAAGTGCGCAATATGTCCATCAATCGATCGTGGCGTCAGAATTGGCGAGAAGGAGCCGGAGGCAGTATTATTCTCTATTCCTCTCTTTCTCTCTTTCCCGTCCTACTTTCTCTCTCCTCTCTTTCTGGGATTGACGCGGCGCTGCCTACCGATGGGTATTTGATTGTCATCACCGCACAACGGCTGCGCGTCATCTCGTCTGCTGTGCGACATCAGCGCTCTCTCTCTTCCTCTCTCACTCTCTCTCGCTCCGTCTCCCTCATTCTCTCTCTCTCTCTCTCTCTCTCTCTCTCTCTCTCTCTCTCTCTCTCTCTTCTCTCCATCTCTCTCATTCTCTCTCTCTCTTTCTCCCTCCCTCTCTCTCTCTCTCTCTCTCTCTCTCTCTCTCTCCATTCATCTCTCTCCTTTCTGTCTCCTGATTACCAATCTCATGCCAGGCTGCCTTTCAACAACGGGTAGAAAAGGAATATGCAGCGGTTTCAATATTTGGCATTAAAAGTGCATTGATACGGGTACCTAAAATATACATTTTAGGCAAATGAGCTTGCCATAATTTCAAATTAATGTAATCACGTGACAAACGCTCCCACTGCTTTGTCTTTCCACTTGTCTAAAAAAGAGAAAATTTGATATACGTATGCCTGTGTGTATTGAGATATATTAATATTTATTATTTCAGACATGTAATCTACTTGCATGCGCTACCTTGACAGAAATACATTGGGCTTATTTTGATTCGTGACGTGTGTGCATTCTAATCTGATTATGCTGATATTAGAAAGCAGAAGCTCTAATACCGTGATGACGCTATAATAGCGAGCTACCGTGACTAATATGCTGATGGCATGGCGTGTGGAGTTCAGTAAACGCGTCAAACTACCAACGGCCAAACACACTCTCAATGCTCGTACACTACACGTATATTTTGTTATTTGCAAGCATAGTCAGTCGATGTAACAACCATGCATTCCTACCCAAATTTACTGTTTGATGCCAACTTTATCTGACTGCATATTTTGAGCCCGAATGTTGTATCGTGCCGAGAATTCGGCCGCCTGGGTGTTACCACGGCAGGCCAGCGATCTCAGCTGACTGGCGTATAGACTGCGCCGCATGACATGCCTGCTATGCGGCGCAGTCTATTCCTTCGGTGATCTGAAGCGCTGCTGTAGTTCGTCTGCTAACAAAGCCCCCAAATTCTTTCTGGTTTTGAAATGTGTATGTTGAGTATCAGTAGCTTGTTTTTTTTTTTTGCTTTACATGAAGTTTTTAGACATGTATGCAGATTCAGAACCGTCTCATCGGGTGACCAGTTCTTTATTTTTCATAATAAAGTGGACGATCTGAATGCCCAGCTGAGCTTGAACAATACCCATCTCAATAAATAACATGCACATTGCACATTCAGTATTTACAATTTGCTGCACATTGAACATAATATGTGCGCTTACACAATGTGACATTGTGTATGCGTATACAATATTTATGACAACACTGTTTACGGATAATGAATATTGAATATGCTTGTTTGTCGGATAATCAAGCATATTGAAAATATTTACTTTGACAGGACCCCCTCGTCAGTTAATTTCAATTCAACTAAGAGAAAACATATATATGTTTCTCTCTCTAGAGCCAATAGGTATCTCAGCGATACTTTGAACTAAACTATTTTGATGAAAGTTGGACGGATGCAAGTATTTTGGGACTTCAAGCCTCGTAGGAGATTTGTTTCGGTATCAGACTTGCTTCTATCAAACTTGATCACTTCCCCATAGGAGCTCCAAAACACTGACCAATCACCACATGAATCCCATTTTCACATACACATGCATACCAACCAGCCTATTTCCATTGTAATATCCCACATTGTATATTTTATCCGTCTGCAATAGTTCGACTGCAACTTGCTGCGCATTTGCATGGAAACGGGGCCTGTGCAGTGCGCCCAAAGTGGGACTGTCACGCCTCCATGGCGTCAGTTCCATTCAGTCTCACTGCCAGCTGCGGCTCTTAAGACCTGTCGATACCATCGGCATTGCAAATTGCCGGCCCAGTTCAGCTGACTAGATAAATTGATCACGTGACCCGTGGATATTGTCTCCGCTCAGTCACGCCATTAACTGCGCCACCAACGTCGAGAGGACTTCCCAGGGGAGACGCATTCAAGAGTTTGAAATCACTATAAGCGTTCCAAACTTCGTATACTTTAAACGTAACGCCATAAAACATCTGACTCCTGTTTTGTTCATGATAAATTCGCTTATCGGGCATGCAAGTGAAGCCTGCACTTGGTAGGTCGGGAACAATCACAAAACACCCAACTTGAGCCAGAGTTAGGCTACGCGTAACATTACTTAGGCAGCATCTTAGCACCACATTTATCGTAAACTGACAATGACCTTAGAGGTGCCAGTAATAAATAGCTTTTCACGCCATGGATATTCAACTGCGAACCTTCTTTACCACGACTTCTCTCATTAGTCAGAGCTGGTATTCCAGTTTCCCATCCCCTCCAATTCGCTCAACACTTTCTCCTGTTCCCACCACCTGATGTATGCTGCCTTCTTTCCAGAGCCGCAGGTGGAGATCGTGGGCGCTCCCGAACTGTACATCAATCGTGGCAGTGACGCCACCCTCACCTGCATTATCCGTGGGGCCCACAAGGCCCCCGAGAACGTCCGGTGGACCCACGACAGCAAGGTATAATTGCATGTTCTAAATGCTGCTGCACTCAAAACAATTCTACTCTCCGTCGGCGGGTAAAACCCGTTTATTACGGGTACCCCTACTCGCAACCATATTTGACTATGCACCAGAGGGTAATTTTTACACTTCCCTCGCGGATCACCCTATCCTGTTCTGACGGATATACCCCAGCAAGCTGACCCCCCACCGTCGGGTTAACTCTTTACGTGTACCCGCAGAGAAGTGATTACTCTTCGCTCTGTTACCCACGCAGCCAATGTTTACTCTTCCCTGGGTGGTAGAATTTCAACCCGTTGCCGGCGTATAACCCGTTACTGGCGAATAACCTTACTCGCCAATATATTTAAACCACCCCTGCCGAGGGTACTTTTACCCCCTCTTGTCGGATACTTTACCCCCGTGCGCAGTCTTTACTCGGTATACACGCGGTTCTTACCCGGTCAGTACGGATATATTTCCCCGAAATACAACACGAAATATAACACATAACAGAAGCATGCGCTTTCTATTTTTCTATTCACTGCACAGTCACAGTGCACAATCATTGACGCCTTCTCGTACCATTCGTTCCCTTACTTCAGGGATCCAGTTTTTTTTTCTAGTTTTAGCGCTGCAAAAACGTAACCCTCTTAAACACTTAAACAAAGTCCCCTGTCACATATACACCACCATCAAAGCAACGTCCGTGTCTAGGCTCCCATGAAGGGCGAATAAGGGGCAGGCGATGTGGCAGTGGGCCCTGTCACATATACACCGCCATCAAAGCAACGTCCGTGGCTCCCATGAAGGGCGAATAATGGGCAGGCGATGTGGCAGTGGGGCGTGACAGGACCACGCCCTCGTCCAGTTCGACCGCAGTCAATGAAAAACCGGCGAATGAGTCGGAAACCAGGACCTCTCTCTCTCTCGCTCAGTGCTGCAGCTCGCCGGCTGGGAGAAGTTTAGTGAGCACGGCCTGGAGCGCCGTCGGAACATCCTTCTTAACGTCGGAATGTACTACGTATACCGCCAGGAAAGTGGCCGTGTTCTTGATGCCAAGGTAGTAGAGCGGCTGGCAGAACACGGAAAACGATACCGCCCACGTGAGGAGCTGGAGCTCCTCGCTCCCACTGAGGGCGGCGCAGTGCACCCCCTCCACGAAGAGGGCAGCACTACCACCCCGCCGCACGATCACGGGGTATGTATGATGTCCTTCCTCTTCTACAAAAACTGTTTCCAGTTCCTTCAGGGAGGCCACCAGACCTTCGGCGTCGTGGCCTATGCAGAGAACAGAACAATGCGCAATGTTATTCTCATCTATGCCAACACCTAGGCACAGATCACAGCATCAACTCTTACTCGTATGTTACATCGCTACTCAATCACGGGAACAGCTGTCATGTATTGTTTGCACTAAGTATAACTCACTAGATTTTGCACTGAACCAACCAAACACTATAGATGTCTCCTTTCCTGACCATGAAGTAACCGCAAAATCTGAGTCATTTCAATGTACCGAGTCTCACGAAGAGGGTATTTTTCGCCCCAGCACTTGTTTCGATACCGCAGTGAAAACTGATTGGATTGGAGGAAACTGAAGTCATTGGGGGAAGGGAAATGGAAAGCAATTCATTATTTAACCCGCGTCCCGTTGGGGGAGGGGCATTTTGCCCCCCGGTGTTTTTTTCGCAAATAGCAAGAAAGCGGCAGCGCGAAGCTCCGCCAAATTTTGGGTACCTTTCCGGACATCAATTTGACACCTTCATCAAAATTTCAGGTCATAGATCACCTTAGGTCAAGAGTTATTGAGGTCAAACTGAGGTCATGTCAAAAATAGTGTCATCTTTACACGCTCACCAAAGTCAGAGTTATTAATCAATCTTTAAGTTATTTGCATGATTTTGTAAAGAAAAGACGGGCCTACAAAACTGCCATCTCGGATTTTCAAAATTTTAGTTTTCTTAAAAAAAAAATATTTCAAAAAATGATGTTTTTTTAAAATAATGAATATTTTTTTATATTTCAAAATTTTCAAAAAAAAAAAAAACGGAACATATGTGTTAGAACCCTATCTAGTGCATGTACACTGAAAATTTCAGGCCGATATCACTTTTGGTTACGAACTTATAGCTCTTAGGTGTTGACCGCCTGGTTGATCAATAGTGCAGACCCATCCAAACTTCAAATTTGGCATTTAAATGACTTCTTAGAGTATCCATGGTACAAATAAGAGTGTTAAAGAGTGTTTTAGTGACTTACGCTTGGAAAAATAACCTAAAAACATGTATCGCACAACTATGCGTAGTCATGTTACACATTTGACCTTGCGTGACCTTGAACTCATTAGACCTTGACTTCTCCTACTGAGTTTTCGCTTCCAAGTCTCAGATACACTTTCTAGACCATTACAGGTGGATTCCTGTCTGAAAGTTGACCTAAAAACATGTGTCGCATGACCATGTTTTTCATGTTTGAAAGTTGACCTTGTGTGACCTGACCTTGACCTGACCTTTGATGTGCACCACCCCTTAGGCCCTTCAGTGAGGTCGTGTGTCTGTCTAAGGGCTTCCCTGATAAAAAGAAGCATCTGGAAAGCTTCATTTCAGCAGGCGTCATAGTAAAACATAGCAAAAATGCGATATTTCACGTTTCACCTCGGTTTGACCTGACCCGTGACCTCGATTTAAAATTTATATGCTTTTGAGAGTTCACCACCAGGTCTACCCAACGCCGTTTGTCGCTTGTCGCTACGTCGCGTGGTTCTCGAGATATCTTCGGGGGCCAAAATGCCCTCCCCCTCCCCCAACGGGGGAGGGTCGCCAGATCCCAACGGGGCGCGGGTTAACCTGGCAGTTACTAGGGTTGTTGTTGCGACGGGAGGGGGCGTTAAACGCCCACGGCCGATAACAGACTCCCGAAGCAATAGGTGCAAGGGGGGAGGCAGGCGGCAAAGGAAAGCTATCAACGAGACGAGTTTATAGCACAATAACAATTTTCTTGAAAGGTCTTAGGTCATGTCAAAGAGCATGATGCGAGATGAACACTGGCGTCTCCTTAGCCGTAGAAACCAGTCTATCGGCAGCACCAATGTAACCCAAACTAGCATAATACATTGACAAATGACAGGGAAAGGTGTGATAGGCACAATCAAATGCCAAGCTCAGGTCAAAACGGGTCATGTTAAGTGTGTAAAGGCCTGCGTCACATGCTATCCTACAATTTTGTAGAATTCGATGACGAATCGATGACATCTATTTAGGAAATTTTCCTCAAGATCAGACGAAAAAAAGTTAAAAAGCGTTAACGAGTTAAAAAGGTCAAACTTGAAAGAGTTAACTTTTGATTAAAAACAACTCCTTTGATGCAGCTTGGTGTCTTAATTTCCATCTTTTAACCCTTTGTGAAAGGGGAAGCTATGAATTAATGCGACCTGTCGAATTGGACGTGAGGCGAGGAAAAAAGATGCATGCAAATTACAAATCTATCGGGCAAATTGTTCCCCGACTGTTACTGTCCCTTACCGGGTACGTTGCGAAGAACTTTTTTGAGCTCCCGTAGTGCATCAGCCTGGACGGCCTTGCCGCCCCGAGCGTCCGACTTCAGTCGCGCATACTCTTCCCATATCTGCGGAACAGTGATGAACAATGGTGATAATTATTTTAATTACTAACAGAATATGATGTTGATTGGGGTGAGGAGCACTGACAGAAAGGTTACATAAACAAAACTACCGAAAACATTCCACGCGATTTGAGAATGGACGGATAACGAATATAAAACAGGACAGGACAGAACGAGACTGACGAACAGAGAGGAACTATATAACAATGACTAGGACAAGCTTCACAGACATAGCCAATACATTACTGGAAATTAAACACCAGGCCAACTAAACCCTATTACTGGTGGGCTTTCTGAACCTGGAGTTCGTTTACTGGTGTGTGTGTGTGGGGGGGGGGGGCGATTCGGCCCCCTTAAGGTCTCTGACTAACCGGCCGATTTCGATGGGACAAACGCCATTCAATTGCCCTCATCGTGAATTATTTGATGTGCTATAAAACAATTTAAAAGTCAAAAATTTGGGTTTACAGTGGCTTTCTCCCCTAATATTTCACGATTTTCACGTTGTCACTAAAAACTCTATGATGTTGTTTTTTATCCAATTAAGATAATGTTTTAGGAGCAGCTACTTGATGAATAGGGCTATGATATATACTCCGGTTTTTATAATATTCGAAAATCAGAAGCGGTCCCAGTATATCGAAATCGTCAAGACGGCCGAAAAGTGTCCAGGAGAAATTGGCCCTGGGGACGACAATGGGCTATACGAAAGGCAAAAAAATTGGCACACGGTGCTCAATAAAAAGTCATCAAATTTCAGGAAGCTGGCTCCAGACGTTTTCTGTCAGATTTGAAAAACTACCGGCGGGGGCCGATCCCCCCCCCCCCCCCCCCCCCCAGTAATAGGGTTAATGTGTATGTGCACGATTGTGCAGAAAATGGCATGCTAAAAAGGGCAAGCAGGTGCGAACAAAAACGTGACTTATGCCCATTTATGCTCAATCGTGAGGTTTCGTCGACAGAAATTCACAATGCTCTGCATTGTCTTGCAATTATTAGGTAAGATACAATATGTTCAAAGTGTCTTTCACACTTTGAACTCCCCGCTGGATAGGATGATGTTATCAAAATGCCATTTTCAGAAATTTTCAGGGCCAATCTCATTCAAACATTCAGGGGTAACGTCGAACTGGTGCAGAAGGAGGTTCTGTAAGTCACATGTCAATATCCGCTTATGAGCAATCGAGATGATTGAAGGGCCAGATTCACCCCCCCCCCCCCCGCTAGCCGAGCGTGGGCAGTCAGCCATTCGAATTACACATACCTCATTTTCGTTAAAAAGCAGTGGATACTTGGCTTTCACTCCTGCGATGCTTTTTCTTGCGCGTTTGACACCGGCCAGCATCCGACGCCGGTCTGGGAGAGTTATCTTCATCGCTTCCTGCACCTGCGGAGAATCACGCCTTGTCGATAACTTGCCTTACTACTGAATACATTTTAATTTCACTTGAACAAGGAAACACCGCTTTTTATTCTCTTGAGCGTTTTAAAAAGCAGTACTTAGCGCTATTTTACTTTCATCCATATATTGCATAGATATTTTACATTATTGGAGGCCGCAAGACAAGGCACTTGACATGGACACACAAACAGTTGCCAGCCATTATCGTTGTTGCGACGATCAATCACAGACAAAAACGCAGGCACAAAGACGTGACCACAATTATGTATATGTATCAATATCAGCTACAGAAATGACCTATCGAGCATTTAAATACTGAAAAGAAGATTCAAATACGTTTCACGAGTCCAAAGCACATATATGAAATTCGAGTGCAGTGGCCAGGGTCTGCTATTCGTACTTTATACATAATTATGCACAGTGAACAGCCCAGGTAACAATTTTACGTTGTTACAAGGTACTAAGAGGGTTGAAAAAGGGTTGTCACAACGTGCCAATTTTACGTTGTCACAACGTAAAAATGCAGACGCCAGAAAACGTCATTTGAACGTAAGCCGAGTATGCAATTGAATGCCGTCGCAACGTTTCGACAACATCGTATTTACGTCGAGTGAACACTTAAATGGCGTTTGTGCAACGCTTTTATAACTAGCGTATAACCTCTCGACGACCTCATTACGAGCGAGCGCGAAGCGCGAGCGAGTTCTTCGAGGAATACTGGAAAAATCTGAGTATGAGCGGCCCGACACGGCACGGCCCCATTACGCTTTTGACGAACTTATATCTCTGCAGCCGCAGGCCCGATTCACGCGCGGTCTTCCTTGGTGGGTAGCTTCATCCCTTCTGCCTTGAATGAGACTAACCCCGGACCATATACGAGTATGCGTGATGAATGTAGCACGTGGCACGTGCAGAATGAAGGATGTTATGAACATGTTTTGTGTTATATCTCCAAAATGGCTTGGCCGTTTGTGCTCAATTTTGATGTGTGGCTAGACATCACGTGCAATATGCATGGCCCATCTGTAAATTTCAGGATTCTTACCCCGTAATGCAGAAACGGTTGAATCTATCGAGTTCCAATTTGTAGGTATTTGTAGGTTGTTTAGAGCGGCAGCGAGGAGCATAATGTAAATTAAAAGTAGCATAAATATGATAATGACAGTCTCCTCGGAAACTATACATATTTGAGTTAATTTCGTTTTGCTATTTACATCAAACATCAAACATTTGGATATGCTGCAAAACGCTGATGGAAGATTCGGTCGTCACCACTACAGAAATTAACTCAGGTCTGAGCACCAAAAATGACAGAAATATTTGCGAAATGATTGTTGACGACGCTTCCAAGACTTTTTCCGCTTCTAATAAACGATGTATAGGAGTCGAATGACCTGGTGGGGGGGGGGGGGGGGGCATCCCCGATATTCCGAAGGTGGCGCCGATCACAGGATGACCAATGATGAATAATCAGGGACCAAACAACAAAGCAATTACAAAGCAATTCCTTGTTGGCTGTATGCCAGGAAATGGGGTTAAGGCTTTACACGTACCTGGCTTTCGTTGAGAGTGCCCTTCTTCATGTCGAGTACGCACTCGTGCACCTTCATCCCGTCCACACGGGAGATGTCTGGGAGGAAGTTGGGAAGCTTCTTCGGTGTCTTCTTGCGCTGCTGAACCTCGAGGTCGTCGCATGCTTTCCTCTTATTCTTGAACTTATTGATCAGTGACTCCTTCACAAGTTTCTGTAACATGCACACCATACCAATATTTTGTTAGTAAATATACCTACAAAAAGTTGCCAGCCATTAACGCTGTTGCGACGATCAATCACAGACAAAAAAAAAAAAAAAACGCAGGCACAAAGCCGTGACTACAATTATGTACATATATGTATCACTATCAATATCAGCTACAGAAATGACCTATCGGGAATTCAAATACTGAAAAGAATATTCAAATACGTTTCTCGAGTTCAAAGCACATATGCGAAATTCGACTGCAGTGGCCAGGGTCTGCCAGTGTCAGTCACGGTATGACAGCTGCTGTATGTGTTATGACAGGTCTGAAAGCGAGCTTACTCAGTACCTACATGCTTGGCCCGGCACCAAGCCAGACTTGGTGTCATATTCCATAGATATTTGAGTTTATTGCTGGGCTTACAGATCTACTGGGTTGATAGTGGTGGGGGGAGGGGGCAGGCCTGGCTTGATATTTTAAGGGGATCTCAACATCTTTTGTCAATTGACTTCGGCTTGTACTCGTTCATTATACAGCAAGCAAATGAACAGAACAAACAACGGAAATAAAAGAATCAGTAGATCATTACATGTCGGTGGCTAATATATTTGCTCAGTTCGCGCACTGGACAATGGAATCGGCGACAGGAGCGTGTAACATTGGAGATTGGTGGGGACGTTGACTATGGTGAACAGTGATAACACTGAGTTGACGATGAGAGAAAGACATTTTATCACATGATTTCCAGAACTCACCAGCCGGTCCGACAGCCGCAGTCCTTTCCCGAACCCAGGGAATTGTTCTGCGACGTCAGCTGCGATAGCGTCTACGTTGTTCAGGTACCTGTTACAGAAAATCATATCAGCGAATGCATTCCGACACAATGAATGGCACAGTGAATTCAGCGTCATGTCTCATAAAACGTACAGTTTAGAATAGAGATGCAAAATGAGAGTAAGTACAGGCACCGCGTTGTGAAAAATTTCAGGCACGGCGTGCCTGAAGCGATGTCTGGCCGCGGAAAGTGTTGGGCTCAAGCTGGTCTAAGCAAGTAAACAACTTCATGAAAGTCGCTTGCGATGAAGCAAATGTATCAGACTTCGTGCCTCTTTCACACTCTTCTGCATCGAAACAATTAGGCACATCCCCTTAACCTTCTACAATGGCTCACCATTAGTGGTCCTATGTTCCCCCCAAATTGAAATGTCTAGCTCATAAGGGATGCACGATTTCCACATGGTAGCATAATGTGCAATGTGCATGCACATTTTTAGGCTCATTGAAATACATTTAGGGGTCGCAGAAAACATGCAACATCCCTGGGATATTAAGTAAAAAGGCATTTACGATGGGTATATCACTGCTTGTAGCCCCACGTACAACTTTCGTAAATAACTTTTCTAGGCTTTTCCAATACAATAGCAGGTTCATGAAATGCCAAGGAGACTAGCTGCCAGGATGCTTCGTTGCTCTTTTGTTTGTTTGTTGGGAAGCAGCGGGACGGTTGCCCCATTCCGGCAGTCCATCCAATGACTGAGGTACGAGTTTACTGTTAAAAACTATGTTGGGCTTCACAGATTATCGTTTTCATACCTGCTGCGACACGTCTTCGTGTACTGTTCATACACAGCAGCCATTATGTCTCTTCGCTCTCCTTTGCTGTGGTCACCGCCGTTTTCCATAGTCTCGCGGACGGATGGTGGAAGCGCTTTCGTGTCCAGGACGAACACCTGCCGGCTAAGAAACAATTACGTCATATACCAATGGCAAGCCACAGCAAATGGTGGGTGAAGGCTGGCGGGTGAATAGGGGGGGGGGGGGGTATCACTTTATACAGGAAATCTGTCACCATGTTTATTGGATTGGATATTTATAGTGTTGCAACCCAAGAACACGAATTAATATTGCATTACAAACGATACAAATCAAAAGAGTAATGCACCTGTCTTCTTGTTTTCAAATTGTACTCTTAGTCTCTTAGAGCATGAGTATGAACAATATTGAAAGAAGTCGGCTTCCCAATTGTTGTTTCCATGTTACAGCACATACCAGATGATTAGCACATATATACCTCGCACTGGTCCCGGCGTCCTTGCTGGACTCGTTGTCACTGGTCCCGCCGTCGGTGAGAGCAAGCGGGTCCTGTGCCGTTTCGCCGACGGCAGAACTCACAGAGGAAGAGCATGGCACCAAAAGGTCACTGAAAGAAACGAATAGCAATGTTGAATCTTCAATTCATGGCTATGGAAGTATACCGACTTTGTAGCAGTGGCACACCGGGGACGGTATGGTGTTTGTAATGTAATGATACCATTAATTAAATAATATAGTCATTAATTAAACAATATAACAGACAACGAAAAAACTCTCAGAAGAGAATTTCAGCCTGTCGCCAAAATGTGTGTGATAATTAGAGATACACAAAGTCCCCATACCAAAGCCCCGCACCGGCTCCGCCCCCGCTCAGACCTTGGTGTGACCCGACCACGACCCGTAACGGTGACAGTCAGGCCTGTGCACCACCAAGGCCCTGCCACCCGGCGTCTAACAGTGTGACCACATGGGCAGGGAGCCCGACACAGCCCGGCAAACACTTCATGCGAGACCCACTCTGCCCCGCCGGGCCTAAGTCCATGCCCCGCGCCAGGCCTGCGGGCTTCAACTTTGCAACTCTAGTGATAATTAACATTTCCGGATGGTAATGAAAGACAAAGGTAAATCAAAAAGGAAAATGAATATGTTAGTAGGGTCGTACAAAGGACTTACTCGATCACTGCTGAATCCTTGGAACAGGAGGGAGTTCCCAAGGCGCCAGGAGAAGCTGTCATCGTCAGGACGGGGATGGTGTCGGCCGTGCTGAGACATCTTTGGATGAATGACACTGGTGGGCTGGAGACTTGGACGGGGACAAGGCGAATCCGTCCGCCACATGGTAGGTCGTCTACTGGGTTATCGATGCGAACATACAATTCGGACTCCTTGTGGTAAAGCTCTAAGCAATAACTGCCAGACAGAGAAAACGCCTCTTTTGCGGCCGCCAAAACATCACCCTTATTCTTCACAGTCACAAGTCGGTTGATGTCGTGTTGCTGCACCACGTAGGTCAGCATGGCGATCGTGGTCCTGTAAATATTCGAATTACACATTTAGCCACAAAGTCTGTCGCGGCCAGGGTTGGGCTGGAAGCCGTGCCGAAGCCAGGACGGTAATAGGAAGCCAAAACCGAAGCCGAAACCAATGGCTTCCAAAATTATAATTTGGAAGCAAAAACCGAGGCCAGTGACATTCAGACCTGAAACGTGGGAAGCCGAAACCACAGGCTAGACTTCGAAGCGTCTAGCTTCGGCACAGAAGGAGCACGTTACACACGCTCGTTTACAACACGCTCGTTCTCTAACTCATATTTTGGCAAAAACAGCGGATTTGAGCTATGACTTTGACTTTGCATCCCTGATTTACCGCATTTTGCGGTCGTATCCCGCGCAAGTGCACGTTGCAAAATGCAAGCATAATCACTGAAAGTGGATGCTCCCAATGTAAAGATATAAATGTTCATCACACTTACCTATCGTTCTACAGCATCCCGTAGCCGGGTATCAGCCTCCGAGGAACGGCATAGTGGTGGTCATTGATCCAGTACGTGCCGAGGGGCTGGGGATCAACGAGACTCGCACAGTCGAATACATCATATTGATCTGTTCCAGAAATGATAAAAGCTCCCAAGGATGTGTCATAAATGGCCACCTGGTGCTGCACCAGGAATTGTTTGTCCGACTCAACGCTGCTTGGATGTTTGCAAATGCAGATAATCACAGCGACACCAGTGTGCAGCAGCAGAGCTTCACCCGCGCAGTACTTCTCGCCGTTTATTAGCGCCTTTTTGAAAAGCTGTGCCCCTCTCGTCAATGCAGCAGCCGCTTCCGGAACCTCTCCCCTGAAAGGTTGCCCGCCGCTCATACGACCGCGTAGTTCCATTGCATCTGCGACACTCTTCAGCTGATAACGAGTTGCGATGCTCTTGCATATATTTTTACGATTGCGCGAGTTTGCCACAGACCGCTTCAAGGTTTGATGTTTGGCTTCGTATCTCATGCTCCATAGATACCTCAATGGGCCATGTCTCCTCGTTTGATCGGCATAGTGTAAGAGGAAATGATGCTTCGGCGTCAGTTTGAACTCCGGAAAGCATGCGAGAAGGTCTGTCAAAAACTTTTCCACCATCCCTTGCAGGATATCCAAGTCTTGCAGTGACACCGTGAAGACAGTGAGTAGGAGCATGATTTTGATTAACTGCACGAGCAGGGAGTACATCTTGCTCCCAGACACAGCCGATGAGAGAACACCTGCACTCAGGAGAATCAATGGCAAAAGCCTCAGAAGACACCAAGCCTCACTCGCCTGCTGCTTCACAGTTATACCCTTTCCATCACGGCGTAACGGGGCGGGATGATTTGTGTCCACCTGACTGTATGGGAATGACCTGATAGCTCTGTTCACATCGTTCAGAGACAAATCACCGCGAGAGCTCAAACCACCGCACACCAGAGCAATGGTGGACGGCACAACGCCCTCTAGAAGATCATGCATCACATCAGGGGGTATCGACGTCATCGGGTGAAAGCCCGTCAATGAGCTGAACGGACACGTGCTTCGGATGCCGTACGCTTTCGAGAGTGATTCACCGAAACCTTCTTCAAGCAAAAGCTTCACTTTGGAGTCATAATCTTCTTTGGAACGGAGGTCAAACTCTTCCAGCTTCGTCTTTGTTCGTATCTCATCTGCCGTTCCATGACAGTGTCGGCAAATCATTGCACCCCCACTGAAGCACTGTGAAAAGCCCGCCACACTGTGTACGCCCAGATTGTCACCGATCAACACTGCAACGTGTGCAGTAAAATGCGAGCCACCACGAATGTTTGCCACAAAACCGCTTGATTCAAGCTCTTTAAGTTCGGTGATGAGTGGGTCGAGCAGTGTTGCCCATGAATGTGTTGCCAGCAGTGCCTCTCGAAAGACTACCGAAAGGATGATTTTGTTGCGAAGTGCGCTGTTCTTAAGACTGTTCACTGAAAAATAAACAACGCCCACTTTCTGGTTCTTTGCTCTGCTGCCCAAGGGGTTGCCTACTTGAAAACTGTCATAGTAGACTGAAAGAAGCAAACGACCTTCGCTGTTATTATTGTTATGGACGTATCCATCCTGAAGGCCACCAAGTATCCCATCTGGTGATGCAGTTGCATCTTCGCAAGCATTCACTTGCTCGCAGAGTTGTTTAAGCTGAGGTGTAACTGGCAAGTATTGGAGCGTTTCATCTTTCCCATGTTCGTCTGTGCCCAATGTCACAGATACAGGATCAACCGTTTCAAACTCCTTGACAGCTGTGCGTTCTAGGTGGTCGCTACCCTGTAACTTGCTCAGCTCATTCAGAGTCTTGAGTTTATGATAATATTCTTCAAGATGGCAGCATGGTGCCTCCCCACATAAGCTCAGACACTCTTGGATGACTTCTTTCGAAAAGTCCTCAATGAACTCCAGCACAGCATGGCAGCTATTTTCGGTCACATTTTGGGCGCGGAGTTTGATTATGAGTCCTAACAGTTGTTTTCTCACATCGTGAGCACCAGGGTCGTCTTCAACCTTGTCACCAGAGTCAGAATCAATCTCGACACCAGTTTCTTGTTGATTTTGAGACGAAGATGTCTCTGGAGCATTTGAAGCACAACCAGCAGCTTCAACCGGAGAACACTTTCTAGACAAAACATGATCTTTCCAATACCGAACAGTGGTGAACTTCTTGCGACACATCGGGCAATCCACGTGAAAATAAGGGTCTGATCCATGTCGTCGCAAATGCAGGCAAAACTCTCTCAAGTCTGTGTCAGTGTGGTGACACAAAGAACATGATAGCTTCACATTCATCTGAAACCAATAAGTGCAAAAACATTCTGAGCCAATTGTAAATTCGCCTAACCAAGCATACAGAATTAGCAACACCAAGGAAAGGATCATTAAACGAAGGAAATGAATTTCGTTCGTTATGATCCTTTCGATCATAAGGGCACAACCCCAAATAATATTCAATAAAATATGAACTACGGGGTCTTCTGCCTACAGTCATGTGGGCAAACGCACCAGTGATGTCATTTATAGAATTTAGTGAAAATGGTACCAGTCACCACTCAAACCCAGGGCGGTGACCCCACGGCGAAACAGCTTCAGCGCCAGTACCATGAACAGCTGGAACGCTTTACCTGCCGAAGTTGTGTCCGCTGACTCGCTCGACATTCTAGGCGCGACTTGACCGCCATTGGAGGAACCTGATATTTAACATACCACAGACCTAGAGCCCTGATTGTTCATTGTCCTTGAGCATTCTGTCATTGTCAACATTTGGACAGTCCTTGAACTGTCCAAATATTCCTCAAATTTTGATGTATTACAAAGTGAATAGTTGTTGCTACAAACAACCAAAAATCTAGTGATATAAATTATTCCCCGCTTCATTTATAGCTTGGTTTGTGAAAAATTTATGTTTGAAGTTGTGAGCAGACTTGTGCCAAGATCCCAAAAAGATCCGAGATCCAGGATCCGCTGGATCCAAGATTTGGGATCTTGGTGGTTCCTGGATCCAGAATTTCAGATTTTGTCGAGGGATCCTGGGGATCTTGGATCCAGCATTTCAGATTTTGTTGAGGGATCCTGGGGATCTTGGATCCAGCACTTCAGATTTGTCAAGGGATCCTGGAGATTCTAGATCCTGCAGTCTGCACTTCAGATTTTGTCGAGGGATCCTGAATCCTGAATTTTCAATTTGTCGAGGGATCCTGGGGATCTTGGATCCTGCATTTTCAATTTGGCGAGGGATCCTGGGGATCTTGGATCCTGCATTTTCAATTTGTCGAGGGATCTTGTGGATCTTGGGTCCTGAATCAACCTTAATTTGTTTGGAGGGTTTGCATTATGACTCCTCAGTTGAAGGTTTAGGTGATATTTGGCATTGGATGCTATATTCTAAGTTGCAATTGGATGTTAGATTATGTGCATACACCCTCACATGTACCTTGATGGTACATGTTGTTACTTCAGTGTTAACTACTTACTGCCAAGCACTTAGTAGTGAGTATACTGAATGAAGTGTCAGCAGTACCATCCAAATATTGAGATAGTATTATTGAGAGTGAGTGACTGAGTTCTAACTCATGAGGTTGGTTGTGGGATTGATAACCAATAGCCTGGCACTGGCTACCTACTGAATATGTTATGACTGAATGATCATGAATGATTTAAGATCTATTTTGCTTTGCAAATAGCAATAAGAGAAGCCACAATGTAGGAAATATCATAAGCAAGGACTGTTCATCTTGTTGTTCTGATGATCATGGATGCTACATTTTACTAGGATCATTGTTCATTATGTCATTTGGCTATTATGCTCAATGAACCTAAAATTTACTCTGGTTTTTATCATTAGGCTTGGGCCTCAGATTCAACTTTTGATCTACCATATGAGCATATGACATTACACTTGAACAATTAACAATTAAGAACTCACTCAGATGACAAGTCCTCAGATCTAGAGTTCTCAAAGGCCATAGTTTACTCACAAGTCATAGCTGAACTAACCTCTGTGATTCTATGAAGTGTTGACTGACGAAAGACTGATGAAGAACTTTCATGCTAAGTATAATGTTTCAATTTTCCAACAAAATATTTTCTCGAAAAAATAGCATTCTGCCCAAAACCCCAAAAAAGTTAATGTATGCCTCTCACATGGCAGCCCTGTGACCATGAGAAGTCCTGTGATCATGGACGAAGGTATTTCTTTATCAAGGCAATGCATAATTTCGTCGATCGTTAAACTGTAGATTAATGTTAAACTGTAGATTAATTTTAATCGTCGATTGACATTAAAATAGGCTTGGTCAAGTTGTATTACTAGTTATCAGTGATAACTAGCACGGGGTGATAACTTATCACCCCGTGCTCTGTTTGAGACTGGCATAAACCATCGGCGATTGGCGAAATATACTGATTCCACGGGTCAATAAATTCCTCCGTTCATGATCTTATTACCAAATTTACTTACCAAATTTTAGTCACAGCAAGGCAATAGAATACCAGCAAGGCAATAGAGTCACAGGGCTGACATTAGGGGCGTACGCGGCGCATCAACAGGAAGGTACTGGAAAGTATAAAGTGCAGGGAAAATTGCCACCCGAAAGTAAACATAGGCAAGGTCACCACCAGAGGGCTGTTCACGGGCCCTGTGTGCGGTCGGACCGCACACAGCCTCCAAGCTCCGCCCACTGCGTCCCTACGTCAGCCTTCCGTCACCGCACACAGCGACCGCTGTGGCCGGTCGGGACTGGCCACAGCGGACCGTCCACCGCACGCAGCCGTGACGTCAGAGCCGCCTACCCATCCCCTACCCCCACGCCTGCTGGACGTACCGCACACAGCGCACGCAGCAGTGTGCGGTGCCCGTGAACACCCCTCAGGGTATATTGAGAGACGGTCACCACCGCCGTGCACCAACCTCCGATTGTAAAATGTCAAGGCCATCTATAGCATAGGCTATGTATTATCACAAAGTCGAGGTGGGTATTAATATGACGTCACAGGTACAAGGGGTCTAACGCAAGGTGTGGTAGTCCGAAGAGATGGGTAATCCAACAGGCATACCAATCAGTACACGGTACTCCAATGACGTCCTTGATTTTAGTCTTATAAGTTTATGGCAAAGTATTATAAAGCAAATATTTTCTTTGCGTCCATGCCATTTTCGAGGAGTGACTTTTGTTTACAGTGCCAACATCACAGCTGCTGATTGAAGGTTATATACATCAGCTGAATTTAGCATGCAGCGATTGAATTATTGGCTCCAGTTTTGCTTTCAGAGATTAAAATCATTTAGTATTCAACAACAATAGATCTAGAAGCTTTTTGTTGTGTAATGACTAGCAAACTTCATTGCAGGTTTTGTCTGGAAGCGTGCCAGGTGAGGGAAAAAGGAAGGAACACCCTATATATGAAAAGCAACATATTGTTTAGCCTCATTAGGACCAAGGAAGACCATCCATTCCAATCCTTCATAGGACAGGCAGAGGCAGGTGCTGCGAGTCTGGCATTTTGGTGATTGTCAAATCATGTTCCTTTCCTTAAAATAGCTTCTGATTTTGTTGAGGCATAATATTAACAATGTGAGTTTAACTTTATGCCCACAGGCTTTTGGAGCCTGCTGCACAACCTGATTATGCTAGATTTAACTTGAATCGTATCAGCATAGACAGATACTTAACAAAACATGCCACAAGTAAACAGATGGTAATAAGGAACTGCCATAATAATTTCTGACCTGTCATGTAATAACAATTGACAAGGCCCACCACATCCAAACAGTTATCAGTTCAATGATAAAAAGGGAGACCAGAATAAATAGTCATGCTTCTTTACATCAATGATTGACTTCATCACCTCTAAGGCTAGTTTTTGTGCAAAATCCAAGGAATTTTGGTTCCTTAAGTTTTGACATACCAACATAGACATATACTTACCAAAACATTCCACAAGGAAACAGATGAAATAAGAAATGAGCCTAAGTCACCATCAATTTTTTAGCTGTCATGTAATGACAATGGACAGGGTCCACCACAACCAGACAGTTATCAGTTTGGTAATAAAAAAGTGGAGCAGGACAGATTCATGCTAGTCATCATCATTCATCTATGATTGATTTTATCACCTTCAAGGCTTGATTTTGTGCAAAATGCAAGGTATTTTGGTTTTTCTGAAGTCTTGATGTTGCGTGGGATCCAGGGGATCTTGGATCTTAAGGTTCTGACTTTGCGTGGGATCCAGAGGATCTTGGATCCTAAATTTTGTTTCGCGCAAGATCCAGGTATTCTGATTTTGCATGGGATCCAGGGGATCTTGGATCTTAAAATTTCCCATTTTGCGTGGGATCCAGGATATCTTGGATCCTGAAATTCTGATTTTGCATGGGATCCAGGGGATCTTGGATCCTAAAATTCTAGTTTTTGTGTGGAATCCAGGGGATCTTGGATCCTTAAATTCTGACTTTGCATGGGATCCAGGCCCCAGGGGGATCTTGGATCCTAAAATTCTGATTTTGTGTGGGATCCAGTGACCAGTGGATCTTGGATCCTGATTTTTGGCCCAGGCACAAGTCTGGTTGTGAGTAACAAACATTTTCACAGAAAATCTGCTTATTTCAGTTGCATTCATTTCAATTTTAGGTGCGTGAGTTATAAGTTCCTACTGTGTCTGTGAGTGAATCTTTCAACTTCCATGCCGGGTTCAAAGACTACTGTGTCTTTGAGTGAATATTTGAACTTTCATGCCAGGTTCAAAGACAGACGAATGTTTATTGCAAATTAATGCAAAGGCGTAGGAACGTTGGAGCTCTATATACTCTGGGAACTTCACGCCTGATGGCTATGCGCCTTAACCCACAAAGAAGAAGATGGGAACTTCACGAATAGCTACCTAGTGGACAGTCATCTGCTAGCTTTGGCGTTGACTACTAAAAAAAATTGATCTTTTTATCCGAGGTAGTGTACACTGAGACAGTGAGAAGCGTTTGTCACTGTCCGCCAACTCACAGCCCAGCCCAGTCGAGTCGAGTCTATAAACTGAGCCCAGTCCAGTCGGGGTTCGTTGAATATCACTATATATGTTGCCCCAAGCATACCCGTTTGAAACATTATGCTATTTCAGTTTTACTTGATATTCACTTAGCCGCTATTATTATGCATCTTACTGAACAGGGCCACCGGCCAAGACCATTGGGCTACTTTCGTGAACACAAATCATTACTCCCTTACATAGGCATAGGAACAGGGAGGGCAGAGCAGCAATGGCCCCTAACATTTAGCCCAAAAATTTCCTAAAATTTACATTTCTTCAAAACCAAATGCAGTGATTGATTCCTCAGGTTGAGATGAGTCCAAAAATGCAGAGAAAGTTGGTGTGCGTGTTGGGTGGGTGGGTTGAACTTGGGTTCACCTTAAAATAAGACCCAAAGTTTCGCTGAAACTGTTCGCCCCCCCCCCCCAACTTTTGTGATGTTCCTACGCCTCTGCTTCTTTATTTTTCAAATTGTTGATAAAAGACGTGCAGAGCATGCTTTTCAAAAATGGCCTTATCCATCTAGGAAAAATATTAACTGTGATTTCTTTATGCTAAGATTGTGTACAAAAACTTACATTGAAATCAAGGAGAAGGTAAATCACAAAAAAAAACTTAATCATTCATTGTGAATAATTTATTGAAAGGCGAATATTTGGTTGGAGAGCAAAATTATTCAGCAGAAAATGGTCAAATTCCAACACTGAAGACTTTGGATTTGAATAGCATGTATCACTTGCACTTCCATGTCCCCCTCAACCAGGTGCAAAATATCTTAAATGGGTGACAAGTTGTGGTAACACTGAAATACCTTGCACAAAAAATGAATGGTTGCCAGCAAGTAGCACAAGCATAAAATGTAGGTAGGTACGTACCTACCAAACATGTGCAAGTAACTGCAAGTAACTAACATAAGCTCAGTATTAGATAGCTGATAAAATGCATCCCACCCACACAAATAAATATTTCATCATAATCATATTGGTCCCATCACAATGCATGATTACTCACCGTCTTCAGATAAAAGCCGAGCACTGTAGCGTCAGCAGACGCAGCGGACCCAACACTCCCAAGGCACCGCGCGCGGTAATATGGCGACCGTTGTGCCCGACCGTTGGCGTTACTCGGCCGCAAATCTTCCACGTCAGGGTACTGTACCCGGCATCCAAGAGTACCCTAACATCCGGGAACATCCGGGACTTTTAGTCCCGCGGATGTTCGGCGGCGGGTACAGATAACGGGCCAGGCGGATACTTCCTGCAAATATGTGAGTGTATCCCGTGTCGGCGGGTAATGGTGACGCCCAATGCGTGTACTGTTCACTCTCCGATCGCGAGTCATTTCTTAACCCGCTTGTCGCTGATTACAACAACGCATTCGAAGGGTCTTTCATTGCAAAAAGCGGGTAGTATGAATAATAGTCGAGTGTTTTACCTGATACTTTCCCAACCCGCAAGTATCAACCCGGTTACAAAGAGTGAACACGTGTGGCACCACTCCTATGGCACGGATTCACCCACCAACGGCGAGTCGACTTGTTTTCAGTGTACGGGTGTTCGGTTGACATGGTTTCCACTTTAGCCCATGTCAGTGGTCCATTACTCCGGTGGGGGTGTTAGTGGTATTGTAATCCCAGATCGGGCGAGTACTGACCCAAGGCGCCGGATTAGTTCGAACATGCTATCACCTTAATCCCCATCTGATCAATACAGAGGCCGGTCGCCGTCTTAGCCGGAGGGCCGGATGTGTTACGACTGTGCGGACACCTGCCGGCTGCGTGGGGCGGATGGCCCTGTCTATGATGTAGAACATTTTGCGGGGGTTGTGAAGTCGCGCTGAGTGGTCGCTTATGGTGGATGGATATCTGTTAGTATAGATGTAAGAGCAGTGTGCGACGGCTGTATCTAGTTTGGTCCTGAGACCATACTTGGCGGTAAGTTTAGGCGC